AAATGGACTGATAGAGCTGCTGTCTGGATTAATAGAGCAGGGAACTTAATAATTAACTTTAATTTGCTTGCCCCACCTTATGCAGCTCCCTTAGTATGTTTGCAATTATACACAGCAAATGGAAACGTGCAGAAATTCATATCCCAGATCACATGGATTTGTTTTACAGTTACTAAAAAAGGAATGTGGCTTGCCACAAATAAGCAAAATTGTGGTGTTACTGAAATTTAAATTAAATCTAAATCTAGATTTTTTTAAGTTGCTGCAAAAGTAGTTCTTGACCAATGTCTCCCATCTACAGTGGACATTCCTTCATGAGGAAAATAAAACCTAAAACAATGTGGTTGCATGCTTCTGGACACCCTTAAACTCGTACTTTGTTGGAATTGGAATGACTTTTGATTTTACTTAAACATTCGTGATATCTAGGTAAGTGTGTAGCAGAATGCCACATCTTAACTTAGCAATAGTTTCACACACTTCCATGCAAAAATTAAACAGATCTATCAAGTGCATCTCCTTCAGATTTGTAGTTGAATTTAGTTTCTGTGTGAAGCTTGATTTCTTTTTGTTGATTCTGATGCTAGCATTTGATTCTTGTTCTGCAAAAAAGATAATAGCCCTCTTCCTGTTTGCTGTTCTAAGTAACCACTCAATGTTCTGCCTACACTGAGCGGTGGTTGAAACTGTTCTCCGCCTTGACTAAGGCAGTAGTTTCAGTAGAACAAAATCGGCCCTAAACCGTTATGATGGAGCCATCATGTATTTTTGCAGCAAAAATACCTTTTGAAATCGAGTCCAAAAAAATTACCCTCTATTCCATATTCCATCAGGTCATAATTTCACCACATGCTTTCAGGAGATCATAAAAGTTTTTTTTGCACAATTTTGTCATACCAGCTTGATTTTATCCCCAGAAACAGATTCCATTTTGTCACCCTACCTACTCTTAAATGTATGAGTATAGACAACTGTTGTCAATACAGCTCATTTTAGGCTTGTAAACTTCCCTGATAAGCATTTTATTCATCAGTCTTCACTGGTCTACTTTAGCATTTTCGGATGTCTTTTTATACCGCTTTCCTGACAACTGATAAGTTTCGTCAGGGAGACCCCTCAAATGTTTTGGAAATCTCTGAGGACCACGCTGTTTTGCTGTGAGACACAACTGAGCAAAATGTTACAAAAAATCTTACAAAAAAAAAAAAAATCTTGTTTGGAGTTCATCAGAGGCACTATTTTGTAATTTAACCAATATTTTACCAGAAATACCCTTGAGATAAAATCTCTTTTTCAAATCAAGTTTATTTGTATAGCAAATTTCAACAACAAGGCAGTTCAAAGTCCATTACGTCATAAAAACATTAGACATTGACCAATTATGAAACAAGCAATAAGTGCTACACGAATTGCCGTCATCAAAATTGTCAAGGATCATCATGAAGAGTAGACTTCAAGACCTGAGTGGTCTTAAAGGACAATATGTTGGGGATTGAAAAAGTGGCTAATAACAAACAACACAGCAACCTTCAATTCTCGTTGAGAGCAGGGCACATTTACACTCCAATCTGTCCATTTATGTGCATGTGCAGTTCTCAGCCAGTCCAGTTTGCTCTTTGTTTGACACAGATCTCTTGACTTGTGTTTTGCTGTAACTCTATGAGTTTTCCAGAACCGTCCAGGTGGAACCTCTCAAGATTTGGCTGTTTAGAGCAATTAAGCAATTTGTTATTTCCACATCTCTAAATATCTGAATTCCTTCCTGGCTTTCCAGATCAGAGTGGAATTCAAACACAGTACATTTGATTTTGATCCAAAAAAAAAAAAAAAAAAAAAAAATATGC